AATGTATTCGTACTATTTACTAAAGGGTTTAGTACTATTTACTAAAGAATTTCGTACTATCTACTAACGGATTTCGTACTATATACTTAAAAAATTCGAACTATTTCCTAATTTTTTTACGAAATTTTTGTAAAATGCACGGAAATAATTCGTATATTTAACGAAATCACTTTCGTAAAATCTGCGCTTGTTTCGTAGAATGTGCGATTTTGCTTTCATTCTCCACACTGCACATTAGGTCAAATGATTAATTTGGCTGTGCGAAAGTCCAATTTCGTAAACGCAAGTTTACATTATTTGTTGATGCCATTTTGTAGGGAATACTCCAAAACAACAGAAACTTCACTTTGTTTTTGTAAAATAAAAATCATCATTAGACAGCAATCAAACAAAGTCACACTTTCAAAGAAAGAAAGGCTTTCAGCGGTTGTCAACCATGTTGAAAAAACGAATTTGGTGCTGTTGATATCTGTGAAAGTTTCATGAAACTCTTAGTAGAAAAAACGCGTATTTTTTGCAATTATTTATCAAACAAAGACGAAAATTATGGAATTATTATCCCGTTTCTTACTGATGAATTTGTTTTAGAAATCAAAACCAACTGTGTCGACCAGCAGCCGGATTCTAACTTTCACTATCGCTAAAATATGCTAAAATGCGAAAGCTAACATTTTATCCGAATTTTTGGCTATCCCCAAAAATTTTGGTTCTGTTCTCCCTTTCGCTTAAAATAACTTAGCCTAAATTTTAGTATTTTACCCGGCTGCAAGTGGCGCTGCATTTTAATGGTGGTAAATAGTCCATTTTAATGGTGATAAATAGTGAAAATGGAAGTATTTGATAGCAATAAAAAATACCAGCCTCAATTTGGATTAAATTTCATCTCCTGTAGCATAGCTATGTTACAAAGACACTTGCGCTGATTTGCAAAGACTATTGATGAGCAGCCTTCGTAAAAAGGCAAATCATTGAGAGAATCTATGGATTGCAATTTCGAATTTGAATATTCTTTTCGTAAATTATTTTCAAAAACATTCGTATTCTTTTCAGGAAGTTACCAGCGGTTTTTAGTAAATGTGTTACAATGCAGCATTTGCAGTCAGAATATAAATAGTATTGGTGGACAATTTGGGAAAAATCTTAAGTGAAAATTGAGTGTTTATAAAGACTAACTGCTTAAGGATATCTGCGAGACATATCTGCGAGACATGTAGCAAATATATATATTTTTTTAATTTGGGGACTTCGAAAATATTTTTTTTTTAATCCCTAGATGAAACCATTTATGTACATATGACCATACTTATTTTATTTATGTAGCTCAACCCCTTCCGGGTTGAGTGTGGTAAGAAAATAACTTGTTCCCAAACCAGGCTATTTGGACAATGTTTTCGAGAACTACCTAAACACATATACTCATCATTTGAACATATAAAAGTCTGTTTTACGAAAGCCAAGTCACGATTTTTACATAATATTTACTTTACACTTTTTTTAACGGTTTCCATCCTTTTACATAAAAATAATGCTATATTTTAGCGGCTATTAATTTCGCACAGAAAAAGTAATCATTTGACCTAATGTGCACTGCAAAAAACATAGTACGAATTATAACACAACACTTTTATTATTTATTTATTTTTTATACCCGAGCGCACTTGTGCACAAGGGTATTATAACTTTGTTCACATAACGGTTGTTTGTAACAGGCAAAACGAATCGAGATAGATATAGACAAATGTATACATACATGATCAGAATGAAAAGAGAAATCGATTAAGCGGTGACTGTCTGTCCGTCCGTCCGTCTGTGCACACGATAACTCGAGTAAAAATTGAGATATCTTAACGAAACTTGGTACGTGAACTTCTTTTGGGCGTGGGACGGATGGTATTGAAAATGGGCGAAATCGGATAATAACCACGCCTACCTCCCATATAACGGTAATTTTAAGAAATACGAAAACTGCGATATTTTAGTAACTACTGAAGATAATCCACTCAAAATTGATACTTACAATGAGTTTCAGACGGAAAACATGAATATTAAAAATTTTTGGAAAATGGGCGTAGCCACGCCCACTTATGGTTACATGTGTATATCTTGGTAACCGCTGCACCAATTTCTTCCACACTTGGCGCAGTTGTTGGCCTTAGTACAGCATACTAAATGGCTGAAAGTTTTAAAAATCGGACAATAACCACGCCTACCTCCCATATAACGGTAATTTTAGTAACTACTGAAGATAATTCACTCAAAATTGATATTTAAAATAATTTTTAGACGAAAAATAAGAATATTATACATTTTTGGAAAATGGGCGTAGCCACGCCCACTTATGGTTACATGTGTATATCTTGGTAACCGCTGCACCAATTTATTCCAAACTTGGCACAGTTGTTGGCTTTGGTACAACTTACCAAATGGCTAAAAATTAGTAAAATAGGACTATAACCACGCCCACATTCCATATAACGGTAATTTCGAGAAATACAAAATCTTCGATAAATCAGTAAATATTGAAGCTAATTTGTTCAAAATTGATGATTGCAACAATTCTTTACCAAGAAATACGTTTATGACAAAATTTTGGAAAATGGGCGTAGCACCGCCCACTTGTGATCACATATATGTATCTCGCTAACCGTTCTAGCAATTTGCACCAAGCTCGGTATGGTTATTGTGCTTGCCACATAAAAGCAAACCGTTGAAAATTGTTGAAATCGGACTAAAATTGAGGCCGCATTTCATATAACGGTAAATTTCAGATATGCTTGAAATTTCAATATTTCGAAATTTAAGGACGCTAATTTACTTAAAATCTATACACCCCGGCTTATCATGTAGCGGTAGCTTTCGGAAAGGTGGAAAACATATATTTAATACTTGCGCCGGGTATTTAATGTTCGGCTCCGCCCGAACTTAGACTTTCTTACTTGTTTTAATTTTAAGCGTTTTTGTTTAACAATACGTTTTGCAAAAACGCTTAACATTATTGATTAAAATATAATGAAAGTGTTGTGCTATAATTTTAGTCATGTTTTTTATAGTGTTAATTATAAAAGCAATCATACGTTCTACGAAAGAAGAAGAATTTTGTGACTACGCTGTAGTTTAGAATTAATAAAAAAGGTTATTTTACCTATAATAAAATTTAAGTCTTTTATCTATATGCATACGAATAGGTTCTATACTACATATTTTTTTATTGCTTAGGCTTCATTCAATATCTACTTTATATTGATGCAAAGTGTTAAACTATGAGACTCAACAAAACTAAATATAATAAGATATAAAATATGAAAGGATATAAAAAATACTGGTTTTACTTTATTAAACATTACACAGCAAAACCCGCTTAAGTACCTCACGAAAAATGCCAGCTTTTTAAGGTACTTAGGCGGGTTGTGTACTTGAAAGAACCCGCTTAAGTACCTCGATGCGGGTACTTAAGCGGACATAATTACTGATGTAGTTACATCTTCTTGTTAACTTACATAAATACTTGATTAACAACATTTAATGAAGAATACATAGTTTAAAACTAAAATCGTAGCATTATGTAAATACATAAATATGTAAAGAAAAACTTAATTAAACAAAATATTTCATTTTGTACCGAATTCACAATAATATTGTTTGCCACTTATGTTTATTTATTAATTTTTAAGATTTTTCAATCAATTAAAATGCAGTTCATTCCCTAACAAATACCATATAAACCTAAGCTTAAGATTTTGTAGAACACTTAAAAAAAAACCATAATTTCAAACTTTTTTCTCAGAAGTGTTTTTGGAGTATACAGTTTTTTAGCCCATTCAATTTTAGTGTAATAATGTGCAAGTTTCAAGTGGCTAAAAGTTACCGTTGATTTTTTAGAATTTTTTTTACGAAGGTGTGTGACGCTGCTACTGAATTTCAAAATACATAAATATTTTAAGGAATTTTAAAAGAGCACTTAAAAGGGGAAAATTATAAGTAAAATTGTAAATGGGCATGAAAAATTGAGGTACAAAGGCTGGTTGGTTACATAAGCGGGGAGGTACTTAAGAGAGGGATTTTCTTCAGAATACATTAAAAAATTCATGGCGTCCAAAAATGTTGGTTACTTAAGCGGGTTAGGCCATTAAGCGGGGGGTACTTAAGAGGGTTTCACTGTAATATTTTTTTGTAGAGGCACTTGACAGATTCGCAGCTTCATCGAGATTTGTGTCCTTGACGACGATAAATTAAAGGAAAATTATAAGGCATCTGAAAAGCAAGTTTCAGTGAAAAGTCATACATGTACTTACTTTTAATTACATTAAGTAGTGCTCCTGGCTTATGCTTGCCGTTGATAGGTAACTGATGAAATTGCCTATTTATTAAGTCCTACATTGCAGCGCAAGGCACAGCGTAGGCGATGTTAAAAACATTGTATATCCACAGCTTTAATATTTAATTTTGTATTGTTTTTTTATCCAGCAAATCCTTTTTAAAACGTTTAAAATTATATTTTATGTCTCACAGCAGCCAACAAGTAATTCCGCAATGACACGCGATACATAAAAATATGATGAAATATTACACTGCCGGTAATTGAGTATATTGTACGAAAATATTCGTATGTTGTACGAATTTAAAAAACATGTTTCTGCATTAGTACTTTATACGAAAGTATTAACTAAATTGTACGAATACAGAATTGTAGATTTCGTAAATTTAAAACCATACGTAAATATTACAAAGGCTTTCCTACAATATACAAAATTATTCGTACAGAGATTTGTTCAGTGCTTTACGAATGTGTTTCGTAAAATAAACGAAAAATTTCGTAAATTGTACTGAAAAAAGGCTTTACGAAAGTCCTTTCGTTATATTTACGTATGGTTCGTAAAATCTTGTTTCGTTGTGGAAAATGTGTTCGTATTATAAACGAAAGTTTCGTACATTGTACAAAAACCAACACTACGAAAGATTTTCGTAGCACTTTTACGAAATTTTATTTTCAGTGTAGTTAATCATAATTTTTTGTCGACCCTGCCTGACGTTACTTCGTAGTAAAGAATGTTCGTTGATGTGCCGCAAATAGCAACAGTAATCGCAGCGCTTTTAATTTCTTTTGAATACTTTCTACTTCAACGAAATTTAGTGGTTGGCTGGACAAAACACGAACAAAAGTGTTAACTGCATTGACACCTTCGCCTTGCAAATATACCAAATTCAAATCCGAATCGTAATATTTCGACAATTTTGTAACACGTTTATCGCGTTCCAAGTCCAAAAATACTCGAACGTCCAGAGCACGCTTTATGTCATCATCGCAGCATAAAGCATGAAATTCTCGCAGCGTGTCGACAAAAGTCATATTTATAAAGATTTGCAGAATTTCGGCTGTTTATTAACCGACTTCCAAAAAAGGAGGAGGTTATCAGTTCGTCGGAATCTTTTTTTTTTTTTTTTATGTATGTTACCGCATAACTTTGGACCACGTCAACCGATAATTCGTTTTGCATCGGAAAGGTAGTGTCTCAGAGGTGGTCCCATACTAATCTGGTTAAGATCCGATCAGTGGATCATGAGATATATATATATTAGGGCGGGTCGATTTCAAAATCGCTCATTGCTCTGTGAAAATCGTATTCTAGGGATCAAAATAAGAAACTTTGCCGAAGGAACCATACCTCTAAAACGAATTCTGATGTCCCCCAATTTGGGTCAAACTTTTGGGTAGGGGCAAATTTTGAAAAATCCCACTTTGACCCATTTAGAGTGCTCCAATCGAGTCCAAATGTATGACCGACCCCCACTAACTTTGGACGGCCGATCCACCCATGCCAGTGGCACACCCCCTGGAACTCCCCTGGGGGGTTCCCCATACAATCATTTCAAAAAATCACCATTTTTGGCCTTTACATG